CGATTTGATTTGAAACTGTCTCATTGCTATATGTTTATCAATAAAACTTTGAAAAAAAACAAAAAAAACAAAGTGCAACACAGGAAAAAAGAGCTCTTTTGTAAATTACTATGTTTTGCGGTAATGAGAATTCAATCCAAAGCCTCCACATCTGGCTACACGCCAGGCTTTATTTTTTATTTTGAGACAGGGTCTCAAGCTGCTTAACTGCCTTGGCTGGACTCAGCTTGTGTTCCTCCTGCCTCAGCCTCCCAGAGTGTGGGGCTTGTAGTCACAGACCAGGATGCCTGGCCCAATGCTTTTTTTTTTTTTAACCTATTAATAAATTTTATTTTGTTTGCAGTCTATACCTCATTATAGTACAAACGAAACAATATATAAGTGCTAACCCTACTTGGTAGTGGGGAATATATTTTAATTCACCTTGTTTTATAGAAAATAAAGTTTACACACAATGGCTTATGTAAAAATATATTATGTCAACCTTGTTTCTAGCAGGGTCCATATTTACATTATTTATAAGTTATTCACTGAAAAACAGAAAGGATACATCCTAGGAGGTCTCTGTCTGCAAAGCCTATGAAGAATTATTGATATAAATGTTTCATTATATGTGTACAGAGCTCCATTACATGAGGAATTTTCACCAGTTTTTCAAAATATGCTTACACACATCGGGTTACTCTCCAGGTTGACATTATTCATGCGGTTGATAAAAAGTGTGTTCCTTAATGATTCCCTCAATTGCGTACATAGCTACGGTTTTTCCCAGCCTGGGATCTAGGCATATAAAATGACTTAATGACAAATCTTTTTCCACATGGCTCACATGCATGTTCTTTCTCCTGTGTGAGTTCTTTCAGGTATAAGAATTCTTAGTAGTGAATGTCTTCCCGCATTCTTGACTGGGTTGCGGAGGAAGAGCTGGCAGAGCGGGAGTCCCGCTCAGTGGCCCCAACCAGCTAGCATGACCGAGCCACTTAGGCGCGGCGGCTCGCACGCGCGCCCACCTTCTGCGCATGCTCCGCGCGTGAGCCGCTTCCCGCCCGGATTCAAGAGGGCTCCGCAGGCCCCTAGCGGCGGGCGCCTGGCGTGGGCGGAGCGCCTAGGCTCCGCCCCATCCATCTAGCTCCGCCCAGTCCCGCCCCCAGATCCACTGCGTCTGCGTCGCCGCCCCGTCGCTCCGCGGGCCGAGCACGAGCGCGTGCGCGTGCTCGCCCCGCGGAGCCCCGCCCGGCCCACCCGCTGCTCTGGTCTCGCGCCGCCGCCGTGCCATGGAGCTACCCGGTAGCCTGTGCAAGAAGGCGAAGCTGGGTCACGGCTCGCAGAGTTGGGTGAGCAGCGGTCCGCGGGGTTAGGGGTGCTGCGGCCCGGCAGGCGCCCTTCCCGGGGGGCTGCGCGCCCGGCGCCTCCTAGCCCTCTAATTCATTTCATTTCGAGACAGGGCCCTGCTTAAGTTGCCCGGGCTGGGCTCGAACTTGCGATCCTCTTGCCTCGGTCTCCCAGAGTGCTGGGATGACAGGCGTGCACCACCTCACCTAGCAAAGACCTCAGTTTAATTAAACTAATTGATTTGTTATCTATTTATCCGTGGTGCTGGGGACCGAGCCAGGGCCTTCCTGTGGGGCTACCTTTGCCCTGGTCCTGAAGGCTGGTTTCCGCGGCCGGTGGGCGGTCGGGCTCCGCCCCGGCTCGCTGCCGTTTTGAGCCGCGCTGTGCTTAGTGCCGGTTCCCCCTTGCAAGCAAGGCCCCGCTCCGCGCACGGATGGATATCACGCTGAGCCGGCGCCAGCCCCGAAGTCCCCGCGGCCGTGCAGATGGTCCCTCACCCTGGCCCGCAGCTGTTGCAGAAAGAGGCCCCGTTGCAGGGCCTTGGTCCCCTGTTTGGGGCTGGGGTCGGACTCCCAGTATCCTGGAAAGTTGGCAGCGGGCAGGTGGGTTAGGACCCTGCGAGGAGCTGCTCCACCCGCAGGCCGTGCCCACCCGAGTACGGTCCCCGGCGCCCAGGGCTGGACCTACTCCTTTGTATATTGCATTGCGGGGAACTCGTGTTACTTTCTGCACAATGCTATTGCTCACTTATTTGTGATCCCTTTTGCCAGACTACGGTGTGTGCACCTTAGAGACCTGCCTTGAGCTGGAGACCGACATCGGGACTGGGTGCCCAGCTGGGGCTGTGACTGCAGCCAATCGAAGAGTGTATCGCGGGTCAGTGTAGGACAGACTTGTATTGCAGTTTGGAGAAGTTAGTTGGACCTGGCTGTTGTGGGGGTGCTGAGTTTTGAGGTGCAGGAGCGAGCGGCGTGGTGGAGGGGGAGTTGTTTTTCTGATTACTGTGGGGTGTCTGGGGGTGCAGGTGGGTGGAGCAGGTAGGGCTCCACTAGGGCGTGCAGATGTGATTGTACACAGAGTTAGGACTTGCTTCTGTGAAAGATGGGGTTAGAATTCTGACTTTTCTGAGACTTGCATATTTCTTTCTGTCCTTCTACTCTCACAGACTTAAGTAAACTGTCCAGGGTCCGATGTCCTTGGATTAGGAAGGTGGGAGGAAGAGAAAGGGGTGAATGAGTTACAGATCGGCACTCCCTCAGGCCATGAGCACCTCTGGATCCTGACCTTGTGGGTGTCATCCCAGGGTGCAGGCCACAGGCTGGCTGGGTGACCTTGGGGACAGAAGACTCTAAGGAAGGGAGGGGAAACCTTTCTAGGGGGCAGGATGATGAGGGCATGAGTCTTACAGGTAGTCTTGGAGTTTTGATGCTAGGCAGTGGGGAAACAGGTTGCATTGTTTTACCTAGTTAAACCCCAGGGACCTAAGGCATGCCTGACAGGGTGCAAATTCTGGCTCCATTGTTTGTAACCTTGTAACCATTGGCCTTCATTTCAGTTCTCTCTGCCTTTATCAGCACGTTTATAACCCTACAACTGGCTGAGATACTGTGAAGATGAAAGGAGTTAGTGATCAGTGTGGTTATTACATTTAATGTCTCCAAGAGGGAAATGCCACACAGCTGGTTATTGATCGAGCAAGTTATAAGCATGTTGCATTTAAAATAAATTTATTTTTATTAGTCCCCATGTGCAGTACATAATGGTTGCATTCCTCATGGGGAGTGGGTACATGGACATAATACATCTTCACTCTTACTTCCCCTCCATTCCCTCCATCTCTTGGTCCCCTTCCTATTTGCAAAACTATCTCTCTCACTGTCTTTTAATTTGCTCTTTATTTATAAGCACACTGCAGTTGAGGGAAAGCCTTCATAGCGTATCTATAAAAGCAGTCCTGTCCAGTAGAAATACAAGCCAACGAGGTAACTCAATGTTTTCTAGAGGATACATAAGAAAGTAAAAAGAAATTGGTGAGAAAAATTTCAATAATATTTCATGTTTAGCTTAATTTATCAAAAATGCTACCATTTCAGTGCAAGTACTTGTTAAATATAAGTATAGGCTCAGTACTATTTATAAAATTCTTAGTGATATGCTACCCTTTTTTGTGCTTTAAAATCTGGAGTGTGTTTTGCATTTACACACACCATTTAGCTACTCAGGAAGGACACATGGATGCTTGGTTACAGCGATGGAGTTGGGTTAAGGACAGAAGTGAGGAGCTGATTTGGAAACATGAGTTCGAGAATACAAAGCATTGCTGTGAGATGAAGTACTAAGCCTTGGGTGATAGTTCCTGTTAAAGAGGAGGTACAGGGAGGGGCTCACAGGAGACAACAGGCCATAGCCTTGCAGCTCCAGGACTGTTTTCAGCTGTTTAGGAGGGTTTCTCCCTGTGCTTGTGAGGACAGTGAAAAAGGCCCATGAGTCTCTTTGCTCTGGCTGTGTCTGATGTCCTGAGCACTGTCCTCTGTGACTGGGTCTCTCCCCAGGGGGATAGTTTCCACATGTCTGTCAGGCTGTGGGAAGCCAGGGTGCTCAACTAGGACTCAGGTGTCGTGGCCCTACTTTGCCCTACTTTGTGGGGAATCCTATTGGGCTGAGTCACCTGCTTGGACTGCCTGCTGTGGGTTCAGGTGAAGCTTTCCGCAGGAGACACTGGGAAGCGTGTGACCTGTGTTGCGCTGGCTGGGTGCTTTGATGCTGCCTTTCCTTCCTTCCACCATCACTGTTTCCTTAATGTGGGCCATGCATGGCCCTGCTGTGCTTACTCCCGCTGCTCACAGACTACATTCCTGCAGCCCCTGTGTCATGTTGTTCTGCCCTGTGTTTCCACAGGATCAGTCATACTTTATTGCAGTGTCTTGCGTCTAACTGAGCTGGTCTCACAGGATGGGATGAGGGTGGCTGTCAGGTGGTTTAGGTGCTTCTGCTTTTATTTGTTTATTTATTTATTTTAATGTATTTGGTTGTTTCAGGATCTCACTACCTAGCTCAGACTCATAGTGATCCTCCTGTTTTCAGCCTCCCCAGCACTGGGATTACAGGCCTGCACCACCATGCCTGGTCTCTGACCAGCTCAGCCTGCCCTGTGGGCGGGACTGGCGGCCTGTGGTTCTGGGCATTGAACCAAGGTCCCTGTGCTTGCGTAGGCTTGCCTAAGCTTGCCTAAACAGGCGCTTTATTCTGCTAAGCTATCTCACCGACCCTGCTTTCTGCTTTTAAAGATCCTCGGTGACTTATTATCTTAGCCCAGCTAAGCTTGCATGGCAGAGTCACATTACCATTTGTCACATACCATGCAGTGACCTTGGACATGTCCTCTTAACCCTTCTGCAGTTTGGTGCCCTCCTCTGCATATTGATAGCCTTCTTGAAGCAGCCTCGTGGTGAAGCTGATACTGTGTGCCTTCCAGGGTGATAGGGAGGATTAATAAGTTAATAAACTTAAAGTGCTGTGGTTCCTTCCACAAATTATGCCTTTCCCAAATGACTTGTCCACTTAAATCAGTGATTGGGAACCTTTTAGAGCTTCCAGTGATACAAACAGCCCAGTGGTGCATGTGTGTCTTGGATTCACCACCACTGCCTTACAAGTTAGATGCCCTTTCTCGAAGGTCAGCAGCCCACGCTGGGTTTGAGGAGGACTGGGATGGAATGAGACTGAACCAGGCCGCCAGAGCTGGAATGCAAGGCATGTTGGGTGGGGTGGTCAGGGGCAGTGTGGAGCTTCTGCCCCCGAGTGCCTGGGAGATACCGACACTGAGGAAATGAGTGTGTCCATTGTTTTGGTGGACTCTGTACTTACCGTCTGTGGTTGTTTGGGATCACAGTGGTGGAGACTTGGATATAAAAGTTGGCTGTCACTAGTTTAAATGACAGGAATCACTTTTCTTTTTGTGGCAAGGAGAAGGTCTATCCCCGTCGAACACTCATGGGAACTGGGGGCACACTTTCTTCTGCATGAGGCTGTTGTTGTGGGCACAGGTCTGGTGGCATTGTGCAGTAGAGGACTCCAACACAGCAGGCACGGTGGGCACTGAGAAGCAGGGCTGTGGGCCAAGGCTGCCAGGCATCCTTGTGGTAGGTGACATGGGGCAGCAGGCTTCTCTGCAGCAGGCCACCTGGCGACATGGGGCCAGCATCTGGGCTGGGGATTCTAGCAGAAATGAGGTCAAGGTGCCTAGAGTTCTGTGCTATCTGGTGGGATTTGGTGAGGCAGGGTCCTTGTCAGTGCCAGTCAGCTTGTGGCATCCTTCCTGGACCATTGCCCGACCCACAATAGGTGGCGAGCGAGTGGTGATGCGAGGTCAGTGTGTGAACTCTGGTCCTTTGGGCAGGTGGACACGGTTGTGGCCAGGTCCCCCTGTTTTGCATCTGAGTGTTTGGTCTATCCCCGTTGTCATACACTTGCAGCTCTGTGGCTCTGAGTTCACCCAGAGAAGTACAGCCCACTGACCAGTGTCACACCCCAGAGCCACCTGTCCTGTGGCAGCAGCTGGCCCACCTTCCCCTCTGCACTCCCCAGGCCCCATGACCAGTGCTTCTATGTCTGGCTGTCGCACTGTGGATGTTCCCACAAAAGGAACAGTGCAGTGTGTGGGCAGGAGTTGCTAGAATGCCGAGAAGATGCAGGTCAGAAGTGTAAGTGGTCATGCAGCCTGGTGACAGGACTGATTGTGAACTGTTCCTCAATGTAGAAGGGATTAAATGCATTCATTGTCCAAGTTCTTCTGGGCTGAAGATTGGAATGTCCATCATCCTGCCTTTTACAAGCTGGAAGGAAAAGCAGACCATCTTTTAGGGTAAATGCCTTGTACTTAACTTTCATGGAACCCTGACTAGGAACCAGAATGAAGATTGGGCATTGTAGAAAATGGCAAGAGTTGCTCATGGTCTCAATTTGCCCAAGAAAATGAAGATCTATGTGTGTCCAGAAAGAT